AAGGAATTTCGAAGAAGGGGAAATTTTTGGCAGAGCCGTGTTACAGTACAGTACAGTACAGTACAGTACAGTACAGTACAGAACGTACCGTGCAGTATCGTATCCCGCTCCACCTTGAATCTGCGGTTGCGGAATCTCGGGCAGCAGGGGGAAAGCTGTCCCGCGATTCACGGTACGGGACCGTACGGTATCGTACGCACTCCATCGTAGCTCCGGAAAGGCCTGCCTCCCAGAGAGAGAGATTCGTTCCGAAGAACAAACCAGCCAATAAACAAAACGCCCACCGCGGTTCATGCGTTGCTTCCGGGACAGAGCACGGTACTATCGGTACTCGTACGACACTACCAGCAGCGTGTGGCACGATACAACCCACGGCAGCAACCTTTTTTTTTTCTCACACGACAGAAAAACATCACGAGAAGAAAGAGCCAACAAAGACTCATCAAGTCGTACCGTACGTCGCACTTGCATGCAACACTGGCAACCCCACGACGGGTGACAACTTTTGCATCAGAATCAAACGACACTCGACACTCGAAACCAAACGACGACGGGGTAGTCCGTCGGAAGAGTCGCGGTTGGAAGCCGGAGACGGAAAGAATAAAAGACCACAGATTACAACATTACATACACAACACAACACTACACTACACAACAAAGCACATCACATTACATTGCATTACATCACTAGCTACACGGCACAGCTCGATATCACAACACAGCGCAGCACTCCATTTCTTTTTTCGCCACTCATAATTCCATAACACAAACTACAATGATAGAATGATACGGMGGCGGTCAAATTCGAGTTCCAAGAAGAAGCCCAAGAGCGGGAGCCACCCTTCCGCGGGTGCCGCCAGCCGGACGATCGAGCTCCCGCAGAGGCACAGCGGGGCAGCAGCGGCGCTGTCGGCATCCTGCGCCGGCCCGGTGTCCCCGAAGACGACGAGGACGATCGCAACGGCGGAGGCCTCGCCGCGGTCGCCACCGAAGTGCACCGGGACCCGGATGCGGCGGACCTTTTCCGAGATGGAGCGGGGGAGGGCCCCCGACTTTTCGATCGCCTCGGCGGCGATTGCGGCGTCGGCGGCGGTGGCCTCCTCCCTGGACCGGGTGTGCCACGGCGGCGGGGCCGAAACAAGTTTCGGAGAGGGGGACGGAGAAACGGAGGCCCTCTTGGCGGGAGAGTGCTCATCGCCGGTGGAGCAACGCAAGGGGCATCCCGGGGATGCTCGGAACGCCCAGGCGGGACCGTCCTTTCCGCACATCGATCTGAGCGTCGCAAACATGAACATGAACATGAACATGAACATGAACATGAACATGAACATCGAAAACTTTGATTTCAACGCGCTTCCGATCGAAATACAGCTCGCGCTGGAAGACACCCTGCTGGGATGGACGCACCTGACGTCGATCACCATCGGGCACCTCTTGCTGCCCTGCCTGGTCTTTTACATCGTGGAGTACGCCAGCAAGTACGTGCTGGAGCGAACCTTTTACACCCTGTCCGCCACCCCGGAATCGAACCGGGCCGGCGGCGCGGAAGCGGATCCCTCGGTGGAGATGGCCATCGAGGCCGTCCTGGTTTCGCCCACCACCCACGCCGTCATYGGGGCCGTGGCCGCAATCGCCGCCTTTCGCGTCATCCGAAACCGGAGGAGGGTCTGGTTCCGCCACGCCTACGGATCCAAGGAATACATGAGCTGCGCGGAGGGACGGAGGCGGAGGGCCGCGGTAATGGAAACCGACAAGAATCCCTCCTCGCTGCTCTCCCTCTCGGACTACGGGACCGAGGAGACGACCGTGTCCTGGACGAGCCAGATCGTCACCAACTACAAGAAAAAGCGGCACAAGAAGAAACTCAAGCGGGCGAGCGACCGCTTCGAGCGGCACCACTCCAGGCTCTCGCCGCGAAACTCCTYGTCGCCCGGGTGCAAAAGCCCCAAGCACAGCGACTACGAATCCACCTCCATTGCCACCACCGAGGACTGCTACGATTCGTCCTCCTCGACGGGCTCCTCCGAGAACGACTACGCGTTCCCGCGCCGCAAGCAGCCCCGGCCCCGGACCTACCAACACCCCGGCCACCGCCCCGACCGGACCTCCATCGCCCACGACGCCGTCTCGATTCCCCGGATCCACAACGTTCCGTACGCCCACGGCGGGTTCTTTGGGGCGGCACCCTTCTTTCTGGCGGACAAGCGGTGGGTCAAGATCCTCCGGGAGCTCCTGCCCGACGTCTACGTCGAGATCAGCCGAAGGATCGGCGGCGGCTACTACACCGGCAWGTACCTGCGGACCTCGTCGACCTCGGACGCCTCGAAGCTCATCCACTGGGCCGAGAACAACCCGGTCGTGGCCGCCTACGGGGTCTTTATGGACATGCAGATCCAGAGGGAACTGGTCCAGGAAGAACGCGAGCGGAAGCGGCGGCTGGAGGGACCCGCAGTCTTTGGCGGCGGCGTCGGCGATCCCCTGTACCGAGAGCGGATGGGATTGTTGCACGGCAGCAGCAGCAGCAGCAGCAATATCATCATCAACAGCAACAGCAACAGCAATAGCAACAACCAGCGAAAGGAGGGAACGAGCAACGAGCCGTTCCTGGTTTCCGAGCAYCATAGCACAGCCAGCGGCACCGGGAGCATCATCGACCGTTTTCTCCAATCCCACAACAACGCCGATGTMTTCCAGACCTACCCCACCAGCAATGCCAAGGAGGAGAGCCCCGTCGGGGACGAAAACCGAGAAGGATCCCTCGATACAAAGGTCGAAATTCCAAACCTAGAATGGGACATCTTTGTGGACCCGCAACTGGTCCGGCGCGTAGAGGCGGTTCTGAATGCCAAAGATCGGTACGTTCAGTCCAAAAAGAAGAAGAGAAGGAGCAAAACGGCGGCGTGCCCTGGCACCAATGCTGGAAGCGATGGAATCACCGGTGGGTCTACCACGTGCTGCGCAATACACCCCGACGACGAGATCGACGA